TGAGGTTAAGTATACGTACCTTTCATGTTGATCAGTACTCGACGTGTGTAGACCCGCCGGGTGGTGAGATGCATGCATCTCCTCGAGTGCCTAAGTACTCGAGTTTGAGTGCTCATCTTTCCCCTTGGGACTAGGAACAGGGATTTTCAGCTCGGAGTGGGTAAATGTGCACATGTGGGGATATACCTGATGCCTGTCTTCCTGAATGTGGGGTTTTGTGGGGGTTGGGAGCTGGAATGGGGGGACCCTTTGCGGATCTGCTCTATCACCGGCCTTCGGAAAGGTCTAATTCATACGATATCGACAACCTTGTGTTGTGGGGTAGGTTTTGGAGGATGGAGTCGGCGGATGTCTCCGGGAAGGAGTGGGGGGATCACGTGGGGCGAGTGATGCTCTCGATTGGGAGCTTGAGAGGGTGCTGCATAATGGTGAACGGTTGTGGAAGTGCATTTATGCAGCGCATTGTGACGAGACCATGAGCCTACTCTAGTTTTGGAATACAACACCAATTCTTGACGGAGGCTACCTTGACGGCCAGTCTCGTGCCCACCCCCTACTACCTCTTCGAGGGGCTGGGCACGAGACTGCCCTACTACGATAGCCCTCAGGCCCAGTTGAGCTCGACAATCCATCCCATGGAATAAAGTTCGGCACCGCTTGTTCTCGTTCCCAGGGCACAGTTTAGCAACGGCAGCTTGCTTTGTTCGACCGGCCGCAATTCAGCTTGACCATTTTACCGAGTCAATGGGGTTTCACTATCTTCACTCTGCTTCACCACAGTACTCGCGAGCACTGCGGAGGAGAGCGGTATCGGGCCACTTCGAGAAGCTTACCACCAAGAAGTCTCATGGCAACCACCAAGAATCCGAGTGTTTCGCACCGCGAAAGCTGACTGAGGCTGAGCCGTCGCCTGCCATGGGTACTCGAGTAGACCAGGCCCAACCCCAGCAATGCAATCAACCGCAGCAACCTGCAACTGTCGCAGCTGTTGGGTTGAGGCTCAACAACGAGCTAGATCGATAGCTGCGGACACAGCCTTCGGATCGACGCGGTATGTGAGGATGCGATTGTTTTTTTTTTCTTTTCTTTATCGTGGCTTGGGTTATATCTCCCTTCTACCTACCCTTCCTACATGTCCACCGCTTCTCTTTTTTGGACTTGAGCAAGGCTGTGACTCTTTGCGAGTTCAGTCTGTTTTATCAAAAATTCATCTTCAGCCTTCAGGCAACAGTGATCAATTGTGAGGAGTTCGCAAGAAGAAGGCACAGCAGACAGAGCAGTGCATTGACCGGTTTATCCAAGGGAAATGTCTTTTGAAGGTAAGTGAGTGTGTGTGTGTGTGTTATGTTATCCTCCTGACCCCATGTATCAAATTCATCATGGCATCATTGGATGGCTTGCGGATTTATGGCGAATCGGAGAATACTAGGATCCTAGACTAACTCGGCATCTTCCTTTCCAGATGACGATCTAGAGAAAGGCTTCCAAAGCCCTTCTTCGGATACTACGAATCAACAATCCGATTACAATAACCTCCGGCATCAAGCACAGCCCCTGGCAAATGAGAGGCAAAGGAGATCAAGATGGGTGGAGAGTTTCCATAAACTCGAACGTGTAGTCACGGGGAATAGGACGGAAGAATCGTCATTTATTTCCTTAAATGAAGTCATAAAGAGTGGTAGCCAGGCGGAGGGAGGGATGCAGACTACTACTAAAACGACTTCTACTCAAAAGGAGGAGAGACAGTGGTATTTCAGCCCGGATAGTATTGGGAGTGTTAGTGGTGGTGGTGGATCACATGGATCTGCTTGGCCGTCTACACCTTTAGATGATATTCAGGAGGATGATGCAGAAAAATGGGGGTTCTCGAAGGGGCCACAGGGTAGTAGGGTCAAGAAGGAGGAGACGGTGCATTCCACGACGACAGTGGCTGCTGGTGGAGAGACGAGGACGGTATCGGAGGAATACAGGAAAACATCTACCAATAGCTCTGGCGCAGCTGGGGCCCGTGATGACCCAGAATTGAATGCAATTAGCCCAATACTTGGTAAGTCGGCGTTTTTTCGAATCCTCAGTTTACCCAATAAAAGCATCGGATGTTGGATTCATCATGCAGGAACATCGAAAACATTTCTGTATTTTTAAGTAAACTGGCGATGCTGATTTGTAACATATTCTAGGCGCACATTCTCTCCCAAGTTTATATAACCTCGAATCAATACCTAGGCTTCCACTTCCCCGCTCCACGCCATCTGGATTTGGACTGCCTACACAGCGGGCTGCAGCACAGTCTTCGGAGCCTGGTGAGACTGAAGCTAGTACGAGAATAGTAGTAGAGCTGTCGTCTGATTCCACTTCAGACACTGGGATTGGAGGCCTTGAAGCGGTGGTAGGGGAGGGAGAGACAACACAAGGGTCATCATACCGGCTACAGGTTTCCTTGTACAATCAAAGTGGCACCAATTTACCGATATCCGCAGATGAGGATCACAGCACTCTTGAGTACATTCAAGTTATCGAGACTGCCTCATTCCGACAGTACAGCTTTAATGAGGATTTCGATGGTGAAGGGGGGGGAGCGGGTCTACTTCACCGCTCCAAGACACAGCTACGGAGGATGCTGAGTGCGCGGAATAAATTTCTTACGGCAAGGACCAGGAGTTTCATGAAAAGGCTACAAAGAGAGGTGGACCTTGAGATGCAGGATCCGGATGCTGCTTGGCGCCCAACAGCCTCCGATCAGGCTCGAATGGATAGCCCAGTGGAGCTCGATAGCATGGAGACAATGCCCGCACCTTTCGAACTTACTGTGTCGCCAATAAATGAGAATTGGGGGCAGTGGGGTGTAAGGCCACAGTTATCTAGTGAGTATTATCCACCTGTTTTTGCTTGCGGGTAATTTTTTTAACCATAATCACTTTCACTAGATGCCGGTGGGACCTTCACCCGAGCTCAAACATTAAGCCGAATGTGCTGTGCACTGTTTGGCAGGAATCTTCCTCACGAATTACAGCCAATGTGCAAAGTTTACATGTCACAGCTCGACAAACGGCTCACCACATCAATGAAGAATTATGAATTGCAAACACCAAACACCCTTAACTGGCATCGCCCCCTACAATATCTTGTTGGATGTTTGAAGGTTGTTGCAATCAAGATGGATGCCAGCCTCAGTATTGAGAAATTTGTCGAAGATAACTTTGCTTATCTTACGACTCTGATGAGAGAGGGCCCTGCTGCTGCAGCAGCTTCAGATGTCAACTCACAGCCACCAGTTAATTCAAAGAATCAAGTTTCACAAGAACAGGATATCAGGCTGGCACATGAATGGATGCTTTTCTGCCTGGAAGCCTGGACCATGCTCGACATGACTGCAGTCTGCAAAAACCGCCACGATCTCCGCCTCTCTGATAATTTTCGAAAGGCGCCCCTCAAGGATACGCTCGAATCTCTTCTTCCACGCTTCCAGGCCAGGTATACGCAATCGACATCCGCCTCAACTGCAGCCGCATACTCGAAATCGACACAGATTTTTCCGAGAGAGATGACTGCACAGATGCTCCAAGATCTTGGTGGGATGGAATTTGTATGGACGGATGACATCACGAAGCATCTGACGCTGGATACAAAGTTGAATACGGTCAAGATTTACTCGCATGTGGCATTTGCGTATCTTCATGCCGAGGCGGGGACGGAGTCTTCTCTGAGTAAATCAGGCCTCAGTTTTTACCACCACATGCTCACGGAGATTACTTCGACCTACCTCCTCCTCTTTGGGCACAATGACCGCTCCCGCAGAATATTTGCAAATATCGATACTGATAATCGCTCGGCGGGATATTTTGATTTGTTTGCACCTCAGCACGCAATTCCTTCTACAAAGCCCAAGGCACTGTATACCACGCTCGACGATTTCCCGATCTTTGGTGATAGGATCTTGGAGTTGAGGGGCTTGCTGAGGCCGAAGGGACTTGCGGGCTTGTGGAGGGATACGAGAGATACGTTGCAGTGGTACACGTTTTGGGCGGTGGTGGTGATTGGGGGCGTTAGTTTGTTGTTGGGGGTGGGCCAGATGGCGGTTGGTGGGTTGCAGGCGTGGGCGAGTTTGAAGGCTTTGGATACGGGGCCCGTTTGAGGCGAATGATGCCCGCCCGAAAGTTGGAATTTTCTGTCGATGTCATGATCAGTTTGTTATCAACTGGAATACGCATCGCACAGCCTCACTCTTTTTTTTTCAAAAATATTTGGGGCGAAATCGAAAGGCCAGGTAGTCGTTCGTGCTCAATCGAGCCTTTTCGACTTGCAGAGATCATTTCTTCTCTCTACATATTTATTTTTTTTAGGGCATTCTTGTTTAATCTTTTTTTTTTTGGCTTTCTATTTCATGATCACGGCGTATTGGGGCTTTTGTTTTTATATATCCTTTCTACTTTCTTTTATTTTTCTTCCTTCTTTCGGGCGAAAATCGGCGTCGTTTTGGATAGCACTTTTTTTTTATCTAATTTTTTCTTCTTTTCGTGGGGAGGGGAGGGGAGGGGGTTTCAGGAGCTCGAGGCGGAGGATCGAGAGGCCTGATAAAAGGTATCAAAAACAGAGGAAATATAGGAATATGAAGGGGGGCTGTTAACGAGACGGGAGCAAGAGGGATATATATGATTCAGGAGGATGGCTATGTGTTTCATCATTAGGTACTATTCGTTGAGTATGACGAGGCCAGGCGTATTAAATATGTCTTCTCGAACCTTTTCACTACGTATACCGGTACCCCCTAAGGCATCATATTGAATTGAAATATTCCTTCAAAACTACCCTGATCTGGACGCTTTTTCTCCTCTCATAAATATAAAATGATAGATGGATTGCTGTCTGCACAGGAGTTTGACGGCCAAAGGCTCAAGAGGTAAAACAAGACAAGAAACTCACATGACGAAAAGAATGAGTTGTAATTAAGTGAAGTGAGCTACAAACGCGGAGCAAATAGAAATAGTAAAAAGATATGTTGAGAAGAGTGAGGTTCGAACTCACGCGGTTTCCCACTACGGATTTTCTGGTTCTGGGTGGAACCCTCCTAAACGTAGCGCCTTAACCACTCGGCCATCTTCCCATTGATGCATATTGGTGTGAAGAGGTGTGATATATTCACCACACACAAAAACGTTTGTATGTGAACGCTCGACAATTACTTTTTAACTAAAAGAAATACAAGTATTAAGAATGGTAACTGATACACACGAGATATCAAGTAAAGCTTGTGAACTTGTCGCTAGAAGTCGCTAGAAGTACGAATACTACTCGAGAAGTTTTGCCTCGAGGGGGGTCACAAAACATCTTGCACTTAAGTTGCATCTACACTTTCACCGAGCAGTGACAATGGCTATAGCTATAGCTATAGAAAGTGCCCTTCGGTATCTCTCACCTAGCAAGTGATCCCGAAGATCTGAATAGTAGAGTAGTAGTTAGCCTCGAGGTCGTAGTGGTGGAGTCACTACCCAAATCCGGGATATATCAACCGGGAAGATGGCCGAGTGGTTAAGGCGCTACGTTTAGGAAATATCATCATCATCTTCTGGATGGTAATAAAAAGAGAATCCGTAGTGGGAAACCGCGTGAGTTCGAACCTCACTCTTCTCAATACATGTCTTTTTGTTTTTGTGGTTGTTTGTTTGGGTTGGGGGGGAGTTGCCGAGCCAGGAGTCTTCACTTCCAGATCCACGAGGGAGGGAGGGTTTGAGATAGGTAGCCTCGAGGTTTGAGATGCCTTACAAGCGTCAATAGTCATGGGTCGACATGAAATTCTACATGCAAATTGTAATCGTAGTTACATCCGGGAATCCCATCAAGGTTTGGAAGGCTTCTCAAGAGTTTCTCCAGCTTCGATATTGATTTTGGAAAAACGTCTGTGACCTAGAACTTTTGGCCATAGTCTCGTACATACATGGTAGGTATGAGAAGTTCACTCTCCAAAGAGATACCAAAACCATGAGATACACAGTATACATGGGTCACAATTGGCGGTATCGATTGTACCTACTACCTAGTGAGAAGAAGAATTAAATGCAGCGGTAGCATGTTGTTTGGTTTTTATGCGTAGCCTCCGAGACTGCGTAGCCTCGTTCCATCCAACCAAAAATATCTAATCAATCTCGGTCCAATTGAATAGTTGGAGCAAAAAATTCATATGTTGAGAAGAGTGAGGTTCGAACTCACGCGGTTTCCCACTACGGATCCTCTGTTTCTGATAGAATATATCAGGAATCTCCTAAACGTAGCGCCTTAACCACTCGGCCATCTTCCCTTGTATGATCTGAGGAGTCTATGCTAGTATACGTTCCCATTAGAAGGAAAAGATCGGTGATCGATTTCATAGATGATCAATCTTACGAGGCTTTCTAGAGTCCTTCTAGCAACTGTCAATATATTTTCAACTGCAACTTATTGGCGTTGTGTAAATGGATTTGGAAGAAATGTGGCTATACAAAAGTACTCATTGGCATACTAAAATGATGCACTGTTCACTATCGATACATCACATAAAGAAGCGGTTGGTAATATGTCATGCCTTTAACTCGTGCACATATACTCATAACTGGGCATGAGGCTATTACAGGGTAACAAAAGGCGAACCTCAATTGTAAAAAGCATCATGTATTTGAAATTTCCTAGCTAATTCGAGATATAGAGTATTGAGAAATGTAGACAGAAGTGAGAGCAAGAACATGATTAAGGGAGAGGGGGGGGGGTTCTTCTAGTCTTGGAAAGATCACAAAGAAAGTAGGTACTTAGGTACGTATGTGTTCCTATGGATTACAAAGAGAAGAACGAGCAATTTTGCGCTTGGGGTAATATTATGGTGATGGTGATGATGATGATGATGAAGGAGGAGAGAGAGGCTCCGAAGACAGTAGGGGGCGCGAGGGAAGGGGGATGGGGAGGGAAGGGGGAGGGGGGAGCAAGGAGGAGATGAATTTTGGGCGCCTATTGCATGATGATGATAAGGATGATGATGGTGATGATGGTCACGATGGTGATGGTGATGATGAAGAAGAAGAAGAGGAAGATGATGATGATGATAATGATGATTATGATGACGATGAAGGAGAGAGTGAGGTGGTGGTGGCCGTGAAGTTCTCGGGCAGAGGATCCTCTTGTCAATCGAAACACAAGCCCTCCAAAAACCGCAAAGAAGACTCTCTTTCTGTAGATGGAGGGATTGGTGTCTCGTAGTCATTCAAATCCACAAGATTGGGGCAAACATCTTGTTTAGAGAGATTTGGGCCCGCTGCCGGCGACGGCATTGGGATCAATGGTGGCATTGACATTGAGAGTGGAACCAAGAATGGAGATGTCGCAACATTTTCTACGGATTGATCCGTATTTTCTATAGTAATCAGGTTGTTTTTTTTCTGGGTCTTGTGTGTGTTCTCGTGGCGTTCAAATTTCCTGTTGCTCACAACACTTGTAATGAGCTTCGAGTTGGTGGGGATGCTATTCGCAATGTTCTGGTTTGTATATCTTGGGGGGGGTAGTGGCGGAAAATCGGCCACAGAGTAGCTAGGTGTAAACGCCGTCACAAGTTTGTTGGAGTTCCACGCGTTTGGAGCAACGTGAAAAGGGTTCTTTTGGCCCGTAGGTTGAGAGAGGTAAGGAGGAGATGAACTTGGAGTATGTAAATTGCCCGGGCTGCCATGGTAGCCGCGCCCCCAGCTACCAATGGGGGGCGATATAGGTCCAGTGTAGCCTCGCTCCCTGCCAATGGGGGGGGAGGTAGGCCCTGTGTAGCCTCGCGCGCAGCTGCCAGTGGGGGGGGAGGTAGGTGCCCGGGATGAGGCTATGCCAGTGTTCAATACTGATGTGTAAGGTACTGGTGTGTAAGGTACTGGTGTGTAAGGTACTGGTGTGTAAGGTACTGGTGTGTTTGAAGGTATGAATGCCCGGCGAGATGTACATGTTCTCCCATAGCTAGGCGTTTGTCTCCTTGAAGATTCCTGTCGACGACGTATTGCAGCAACATCTTCACCTCTGACAATGCCCCGAAGAGAGCGATGGTATTCCGGCTCCAGACAGGGCTCAATTCTGTTGGACGTACTGGCTCGCATTCTTTCTTGGAGGCTGATTCGCATCTCCATTCCATCTTTATATGGCTTGTGCTTCTTGGGTGGTGTGTCTCGATCGTATGCTTTGTTTGAATGCTTTGAGGTCGCTTGGTTGTGCTTCGAGGCGGAGGATGGCAGTGGCATCGTTTTCAAGAGTGATTTGATATCGCTGAGAAGTTTTGGAGTTTCTTTCGCAGGAGCAGGCTCGGAGGGGGAGGGGGAGGGGATTGAGACTGGCCCGGGGGTATTGCTGGCAGTAGCCTCGTAAAAACTGGTAGTCTTCTCGTACCCATTACTGGCAGAACCTGAGCACGAGGCAATCGCAATGGCAGGGCATCCTGGATCCGATTTGATGGGGGAATTTTCGTTAAAGTTCAATCCAGCCAAGTCCATGAGCATGGAATTGAAGGCTGCTTTGCCAGTCAGTCTGTGTCCACTTCAAGAGACTCTCGGAAATCGATTGGGTGAGAGCATACCCAAGTCTTCCCTCCCAGAATCCCTATCACTGGATCCGTCATTGCAAACTGCCTCATCCTCAACCTGGTCATCCCCAAAGTCGATGAGGACATCCTCTGGACAAAGTCTCATTTTGGTTCCTTGTGGTGGCTGTAGAATAGAACGAAGTGTAGCCTCGTCCCAACAGAGCGCGATGATAGCACGAGTGGAAGGTTGGAGGTGCTTGGGGGCTTGAGGAGGTTGGTATGCGAAGCACTCGAAAAGAAGAGGGAAGGGTAGAGGGTGAGAACAGGCGGAAGGGTGAGGATGGAGACTGTGAGATGGCCTCGGGCTGGAGAATGCTTGGACTTTGGGCACAAAACGTGTGCACGTAAGTAAGGAGTTACTTCTTTGTGGGCCAAGGGGAAATCGAGACTGGTTCGGGGGGCGGAGTGGATGCACGAGCTCGGTGGCCAGGCGGATCCGTATTATCGCCAGAACAGCCACCCCCGATCTGGAACACCTCCCTGTCAGAAGTAATTGTTTTCGTGAAATTATTTCGCGATCGTCTGAGCTCGAGCATGCCAGAAATATTGTAAAATATTTATTAGACTTGAAGCAAAAATACCTTTCGAATTTCCTGGAATTTGGTATCAAAGTCTCCGGAGACCTGCCAGTCTGCCAGTCTCATGCATGTGAGTACTGTACACTGCTCTCGTCGAGGCCAGTAAATTTCTTGGCTGAGCGAAGCACAGGGTTCGAGGCTGGAAGCAAGCATCTCGAGACTGGCACGCATCTCCGCGATGATATGATATGACAGACTCGTGTACTCGTGCGCCCAGACCCTTACGGCCCTGTAGAGGAGAGATGAAGCATCTACGACTACCTGAACTTGTTCTCGTCAACAAGCCTGAATTGCCTCCGTAGTGCTCTAGTCTCCTAAGTTGTCCCATCAACAAGACACAGAGTGAGTCGACTCTCTTGGTTCACGCGCCGAGATAGCCTCTTCACCAACGGGAACACTGAATTCACCAAGTGTCTCCCTCCCTTCACCGGCAGACTATAAGCACCCTGGGTAAGCGCCAATCTCGAGCCGCTATTTCCGCGTTAACCATCAGTGTTAGCGCAATGAACCGCAGTGCAAATACTCGAGACTGATTCAAAGCTGGAGAGGAGGCCAGATTCAAAGTGCCAAATCATTGTTCGCGTCCAGCCTCGTCCCCACGCTCTCGCCCAAACCTTTGAATCTCTGGCTAATCACCTAGCGAGTCCGTAGCCACTGGCCGAGATATCTCTTGCCCTAGCATAATATCATCCCCGTGGACTGTTTGCAAATCATGCATGTGGGTACGCGGAGACAACAACGTGCACACGAGTCGAGACTGGCACACGCAGTCTTGTGCACACGATCGGAGAACACAATCCCTTGTTTTCGTGAACAATCTGTTTATTGAGGCTGGGGTGGGATTTGAAACCACGCCTGGGGCGAGGCTAGGATTCGAATGTGCTCGTCATTGAGACGTGCATATCGGGATGCGTACAATGCGCTCCGCACGCACAAACAGAAAGACTCCGCACGCACGCACGCACGCACGCAGAGATGTTACGTGGAGAAGGATGAGGGATCTGTCTCGATCACGGGTCGCCGCTCTTACCATGTCGACCCGGCCCAATCGATGCACAACTACCATACTAGGCAACCGCCCATCTCAAGACCCCTGCCGCATTGCCTATTCCAACGGCGCGGCTAGTCCTGAATAAGACTATTGAGCCCTGGCCGCCGTGGTCACGAGACTAGGCCGCCTCAAGCGACAATTCACAAACTTTGTCCACCTTGAATAGACCTTCATTTGAAGCGTTTCGAAACAAACCTTTTTCACAAGTCTGGTTTGCCTTTTCCACGAGAACATAGTCTACGAAGGCTTTGCGGCCTTTTTCTACAAGTCAATATGGGAGAATGGAGGGTGTACTCGAAACTCTACCATCGAGAGTTTGCACAGGCGGTTCCTCAACCCCTCCAATTCACCCTCACCACATGCCCATTCACTCACAGTCCCAGTATTCACTCACTTCAATGCGAATGCAGAGCTGTGAATGCGGCCACCAACACAAAAACAGCCTCCGACACAAGCCAACAAGCGGACTGTGGTGGCAATGCATCAATTCATCTTGTATATTGAGCAAAGTCCGGCGCCGAGTGCAATAGAATATTCGAATCGGCCGCCGCCCACCCTCAATGGATCTTGCCGTTCAGGCTCATCAATCCTACCTGGCTTCAATTCTCTTCAACTGGTATCTATTGAAATCGCCGGCGCACGCAGTGCTCTTGCTCTCAATACTCTCGCCGGCAGAGAGGGTCGAGGTTTAAATACCCTCCAGCTCCCCCGCCCTTCTCCATCTCTTGTTCCTCCACCCGGCGAAGGCACTGCATCTCAATTGCCTTCGTCAGTCAAGGCTATCGTCGGTACTAGAAGCAAAAGTCCAGCCCCGTTCTCGCCTCCAACAGCCCCAACTCGCGAGGGAGGCAAATCGACAGCAAGCGAACAAGAGAAGTAAGTTGCGCCCCTCCGTGCACCCCGTCAATCCATCTCCACATGTCCTCTTCGGTACATCAAAGCACACGGGAAACAACAAATCTTTACCTCCAGAAAAAAAGAAGAGCGAGTCTGTTCATCATGTATACTTGTTTAAATGCTAATGCGTGCGCAGCCACAGGACGCTTTTCTCAGTACTCGTCGATACCCACCCCGCATACCCCTTCATCCCA